ATTACTGAGTATTACTTGGGCTTTGGGTTTCAAAAACGCTCCACGAGGTTTCCACCAGGTTCTGCAAAAGCTATGGGGCAGCCCTGAGGAAAGGTTCCAACAAAGTTTCACGCTCAGTTCCACGAAGGTTCAACGAGGACGGCTTGCGAAGTTCACCGGGCACAGGTCGGGCGATGCGCCGTCGGGGCCCGATTGCACCGTCGGGGCCCGATCGGGCCCGATTGCGCCGTCGGGCCCCGATCGGGGCCGGACTCAGTCGGGCCGCGTCAACTGTACCAAGCTGGCATGGCCTAGTTTTGCTGGATGCAAAACACCGGCATTGAGCTATAATATGTGGCTGGGGTTGGTGGGAGCCCGCTTGTACCGGGACCATCGGGCCCCCGGTCGGGGCCCGATTGCGCCGTCGGGCCCCGATTGCACCGTCGAGCCCCGATCGGGCCCCGATTGCGCCGTCGGGCCCCGATCGGGCCCCGATTGCGCCGTCGGGCCCAGATCGGGCCCCGATTGCGCCGTCGGGCCCCGATCGGGCCCCGATTGCGTCGTCGGGCCCCGATCAGGGCGCGATCGCGCTGTCACTCTTAGCTTTGCTTTACAAAGTTACAACGCGGCATCCTCGGCAAAACCGGTCGTGGGGCGTTCCGCGAGGACTCTGGGAGGGTGTGGTGCTGTTGGGGATATCGCCTGAGCTTATTTTTTTGCCGCTGCCCGAGGCAACTGGTGGTGGACTTCTGTCGCTTCTCTGGCATTGACGCCGGCGCAGACCCGAATGCCCCACCCATTTGCCCGGAGGTCGGGGCTGAGAAGTTCGTTCTTTGGGCGGACAAATGGCTGTGGTTGTCAAAGCCAATGGGATCCCATTTTGGGGGGTTTTCGGTGCACCACCCATTTTAGAACCTATTTTAGTGGGGATTGGGATGTTCACTGGGGGTACGAGATTTTGACCCATGGCCAAATGTTCACCCCGTACGAATCCACCAGCCAGTTGATTAATAGGGGGGTGCTTCTCCCTGGGTGAAATGTCAGGAATCAGACCACTTTTGGAGGGCCCCCAAACCCCTATTAGTAAACTGGGGTTGATTAATATGGGGTCAGCATAATGCACATTGGAAGTATCACATGCTGTTGCTCGAGCCAAGTTGAGAGGTTGAAACCCATCTGTGCATTTTTATCTTGACCCGATTCAGACATGGACCGACAAATTAAGCTGTGTCCATACCACGGTGAGGCCATTTGAGCGTTTTCTGCCAGTGGTTTGGACGCTGCCAGGAGCTTGGCATGTACTGGTCCAGTGTGTCCGAAAGCAACCTGGCTGATCTGTGGTCTGCGTCTTCACAGTTCGATGTCAGATTTTTGGCTTTCAAGCCAGACCAAAGAGGGTCCCTATAGAATGTGACACGTTCAGTTCCAAGCATGGCTCTTTCTTTCGACCAGAAGGATGTTCTTTGAATCACAGTGGTTCAAACATGTGTAAGCAAGGGAGTGCCCCGTTCGTGCGGCTCCCCAAGACACAACTCTATGCTCCAGTGGTCCGTTCCACCAATTCGCCCAATCTCGGAGAATCTCGCGTCAGAAGGCTGAAGGCATCTTCTCAAGGGATGACGATGGAGTCGTGTCCACGCGTGTCATGTCTAAACTTCCTGATGGTTTCAGTGAGCTGTGAATGAACAAGCTGGCCACGGGTTGCTTGCTAGTTGCTGTCTGAGTCGGATTTTGATAGCTACACTCCGACACCTATGCTAGTTGATGCGAACCTGACAAAGGCGGCCTGATGCGCCTGGAAGGGATGTCCCACAGTCGCCATTTCAACCAGTGGCTTTTTGCATTTTCTGCGACTGTCTATTCAAACTCCTCGAATTTGGATTGCGAAACGGAGATAGGATTCTTGAAGAGCACTATCAGGTTTTTCGCAAATGGGCTTGCCTAAGCTGTACGTTACTCAGCGAAGTAAATGCACCAGTAAAGCAGTTGTTGCTGACATTGCTTCATGCATGCAACTATATTGAACAGAGTCGAACGTTTGGTTTCCTTCAGCTGCCCCCCAGACCAGCTCCCAACTTTCCCGAGCGCCCAAACTGCTGCGATAGGTAGAGAATGAGGGCATGACCCGTTGCGGGGTCTTAAAGGAACCCACCAGTTGGGGTTGGTTTCTCCCACGGGGTCATTCCCAGGTTCCCTGCCAAAAAACCCGCAGAAAGCTGCGGGTGCCCGCTGGTGTTTGGCAGGTATGCACAGTGGGTGCTGGTTTTTCTTGGGGTCATTTCCCACGTTCCCTGCCTCAAAAACTGCGCCGAAAGCTCTCTGCAGGTTTTTGGTGGTCGCCCCGCTAGGTACAGGGGTCCCATTTTTCCGTTTGGTGATTTTAGACATCACCTTTTTGGCAATGAAAGGTGAGAGTTCTCTGGTGGGGGTGATGTTTCATGGGGGCTGGGGGGGAGGGAGGAGGCACCCAAACAAGCCCTAAATAAGGCCTTATTAAGGGCTTTCCCCCCCCCCCTCCCTCCCCCCCAGCCCCCATGAATGTAAGGGGAAGTCTCGGGAGCGAGGTATGTTGACGCTCTTCATGGCCATCTCCGGGGGCCTCAGCTGGTCCGAAGCCATGCGCCCGCTGCGCAAGGTCTCGGGCCTGGCGGTCTTCTTCGTGCTGCTCTATGCTGCTCAAGAAGCGAACATTTCAACCTTTTGACATTTTTTTTGTTTCCCCCATATTTTTGGCCCATCAACCTGATCTGACCTTTTGTTTTTCCATATTTTTGGGCCCCATTTTTAGCAGGGGTATGTTGCTCAAGCGAATGAATCAAGCCTTTTGACGACCTTTTTTGATTCCATATTTCTTTGGGGCCCCATTTTTTTTCCTTTGGGGTCCCCAAATTTTGGACCCCCAAATGTTGGACCTATTTTTCCCCATGTTTTTGGACCACACATTTTTACCTTTTGGGGTCCTAAAAGGTGAACCTTAAATTTCCAGGTTTGTTTGGACAAGTGAGGTTGTGATCACGGTCTTCGCCGTCTTAAATGCCGCTCGGTTGCCATAGAATGGGGGCTGACCATCCTGGGAAACCCGCTGGCCAGGATCGTGCGATCGTGTGGCTGCTTGGTTGTGTGGTTGGGTGGTGGGTGGGTGGTGGAACCGGCAACAGCAAGCAACAAGCAACAAGCACAAACAACAAGCAAACAACAAAGCAACACACAGAAACAAACAACTGCAGGTGTGTGGTAGTGTGTGGTGTGTGCGTGCTTTGTCTGTGTGTGTGTGTGTGTGTGCGCGCGCGTGTGGTTTGTGCGCGTGTCGTTTCTTGTGCCTTTGTGGCAGCTGTCGAGGTCATACTTTGTCGCTGTCGGGATCCAAGCAACTAAGGACATCGGCAACTTGTGAGCAGATGTCACTAAAAATGCAGCAATTCCAAGCCAAACAAAAAGTCAGGGGGGCAACTCCACACTCGTGGCCTTTGTCACGCGTGTTTTTGCGAGTGGCGCCGCCTGTGTGTCCTGTGCTGCTCGTGACCGCGCGTGCCGCGTCGCAGTCACGGTCCAGTGACAAGTGTCTGAACATTCTGAACATTACTGTGCACCGAACCTTTTCTTCCGCCAAAGTTTTGCCGGATAGCGCAGAAGAGGGAAATTCGCGCCGCGATCCGCCAGCGCCGTTTGGTGTGGCAACAAAAGCAGAGATATCAAGAAGGCACGAATATGTGCGGGAATTGCCCAGGAGTATGGCTGTGCTTCGAGCCTTTGGAAAGTTGTGGAAGAGAGAGAAGTTGCGACCTTGCGGGCATGTACTTCGACCTGGTCCATCAGAGCCAGAGCTTGTGCGCCAGTTCGCTTGGATGTTAGTGGCTTGCGTCGCGGTTCAGTGCTGAAGGGCCGAAAAGCGCGGCCCACACTAAGCGCAACTGTAAATAGCGTTGCAGGCGAAGCTTGCAAAAACGAGCGCAACCAGAATGCGAGACTGTCGATCTCAAACCCGCAGCGCAGTCGAAAACATGTCCTGGAGGAACGCCAATGTCAAAACCCAGTCGCGATCAATCAAGGCAGCTACTGCCTAGTCTCCACATCGCAACTCGTCTGGCTAAATGTGTATGCGTGAACCTATGCGCGTGTTTTGCTTGCGTGTTGCTTGCGTGTTGGTTGTGTGTGTGTGTGTGTTGGTTCTAGGTTGTCTGCTTGTATGTGATTTGGCGGGTGTGCTGCTGCTGCTGCTGCTGCTGGTGGTGGTGGTGGTGGTGGTGGTGGTGGTGGTGGTGGTGGTAGTAGAGGTGGTGGTGTTGTTGTTGTTGTGGTCGGCGTCGTGGTCGTCGTCGTCTTAGTAGTAGCAGTGGAAGTAGTACTAGTAGCAGTAGTAGTGGTGGTGGTGGTGGTTGTAGTAGTAGCAGTAGCAGTAGCAGTGGCAGTGGCAGTAGCAGTAGCAGTAGTAGTAGTAGTAGTAGTAGTAGTAGTAGTAGTAGTAGTAGTAGTAGTAGTAGGAGTAGTAGTAGCAGCAGTAGTAGCAGTAGTAGTAGTAGTAGTAGTAGTAGTAGTAGTAGTAGTAGTAGTACTAGTAGTAGTAGTAGTAGTAGTAGTAGTAGTAGTAGTAGTAGTAGTAGTAGTAGTAGTAGCAGTAGCAGTAGCAGTAGCAGTAGCAGTAGCAGTATCAGTATCAGTAGCAGTTGCAGTGTGGCTTGCGGTTTTGGTTTGTGGCTTGTTGTCGCGTGTTGTAGTTGTGGTTTTTGATTGTGTGTTGTGGTTTTGGCAGTGTCAGGGTGTGGCAGCGCCTTGTGCAAATGCACGCCGGCAGGGTTCGATCCCAAGAACTTTGGGATGGGAAGATGTTGTTTTCCCCCGTGAGCCGCAGCAGCGTTGGCTGGCACCCGTGCGTGTCTACGCCACAGGTTGTGACTGGTGTGTTCTGCAACACCGCAATAGAGAGCGCTGGCGCGGACAAAGATGTTGCCACGATCAAGCAGCTGCAAAGGAGGCGGCAGCAGGCGAGGGTTCTCGCTTCAGGCAGAAAATTTGTTTGATGTCCGGTGGCACTTGGTCGTGAAAGGAATTGTTCACCAGCAAGCAGCTTGATGCTTCTCACTCGCACAGCTTTTTTTCTTCTCCAAGCGGTGAGGTCGAAGTAATTGCAAAGCAAATGTTGGTTCCTCCCGACACCTAAAGAAATGATTGAACGGGCTTCCACCGCGTCGCCAGCATCATTAAGACCAACAAAAAAGCTCAAACAGACTGATGTAAGCTTGCTAAGGTGTCGGCTGGTTGATTCATGCCTTACTTGTGCATTCGCGTCATGGCATTTGCAGCTGCTGTTGCTTTTCGGCTGGCTATGGTTCCGACAGGTGGACGCGCTGCGGCTGATCTTCTACGAGATCGACCGGGCCCAGACCAACGAGGTGACCCTGGAGGCTCTAGCTCGAAGTTGAGCCATGGGGATCCTGGAAGGTTAAAATTCTGTGCCGTCCCAAATCTGGGAACCAACGAAACCCCTGGAAACGCCGTATTCCCCGGTTGTTTTTTGGGGACGGATCCGGTTTTTGAAAAGAACGATGGTTGAAAAGAATGGGGAATCAACCCTAGATTCATGGCAAGTGGAACTTGGGGGTTGATCAAAAGGTCCGAAACACATGAGATGACCATTAGCGGAAACCATCCAAAAAAGTGATATTTTCACGACTAAATGCCAGAAATATTAATCAACCTCCTTTGACACACTTCTCTCAGGGAAGTTACGGGTATTTCCCTCCCCCAATGTCTTTTTCTCTCTGAGAAAACATGCTTCAGCCCCCGTTCCCCCTGCAGTAACCTTGTATGTTTGCAGAGGACTTGTCATTGTCGAAACTTGGTCCCCTCCTAGCGGTTGGCATGTGGTTGCCCTTTGCATCTCCAACATGGTACTACTTTTTACGGGAGCTCTCAGGATCTTGGTCCAGTTTCCCATGCTTGTCAGTTAGTCAGTTTCAAGGTTTTCCCTTCAGGAAAACAGCTAGACATGGCCCATGGGCAACCAGGGATGGATTTAAAAGAACATATTATATATGGCCTCCTTCATATTTTTCCTGGAGTACCCTCCGCTAAAGTCAAAGCGAGAGGCAGGAGGGGGTTCCGACTCGGCCCCAAGAGATCCCAATGGGAGACGAATGGGCCAATGGGCAACTGAAAGAAACGGAGAACAAACAACGGATTTACCTCACCTACCAAGGCAAATGACATTGCAACCTCACAGATCAGGGGTTTGCCACATTCAGGTTCCTTTCATAGGGAGCCCCATTCGGGTTTGAATTCCTGCAATTTGCGAGATGCATGCTGCATAGCTCCGTTTTCCCCTTTAAGATGGACGAGGGCGCTCTGGCGCCAGAGCGCCCTCGTGGCCAGAGGCATGGCAATTTTTCTCGGTCGGGAAGCAGACGGATCCCTGGGTGGACCCATCGGAAGTTGCGGGTCGCTTCCATTTGCTTAAGAATACAGTAATTTTTATTTTCCAACCCGTTGGTTTTAAAGGGAATCTATCACTACTGAACATATTTTTCTTAAACCAAAAAAAATCCAGGCGAAAAAGGTTCGCAGGACGTGCAGCACGCCATCTCCACGGAGAAGTTGTCGAGCTTCCTGGAGTCTGTGGGCATCTCCACGGACGACGTTTGGACCGCTGAGCCAAGCAAACCGGCGCGAGCGAGACACCCTAGGCACCCCAAACCTTGGCTCCCAGCCGTCCGGTTCCTTTTCCATTGAGCCCACTAACAGTTAAACCTTTGGCGGGGGATCTGAGGACAGCCTAGAAACATGGTTGGTTTGGCTCCCTTTTAAGCGAAGCTAACAAAGGGTACCCGCAACACACACGCACAACGAAACGCAACGCAACATGAAACACAAAACAGACCACAACACAACACACCACAAGAGAAAACAACTCACCATAACAAGCAACAACACACCACAACACACCACAAAGTAGCACAACACACCACACACACGCACACACACACACACACTCAACACACAACCCACAACCCACAACACACAACACACACACACACATACACACACACACAACACACAACACACCACACACAACGCACACACACACACATCACACACACACCCACAAGACACAAGACACACACACACACACGCCACATCACACACACAAGACACAAGACACAAAACACAACACACAACACGCAACGCACACGGACACACACGCCGCATCACACACAAGACACAAGACACAAGACACAACACACAACACACAACACAAAACACAACACACAAGACACAACACACAACGCACACACACACACACACACCCACCCACCCACCCACCCACGCACGCACGCACGCATGCACCCACCCACCCACCCACCAACCCACCCACCCACACAAACACACACCCACCCACCCACTCACCCAGCCACCCACCCACCCACCCACCCACCCACGCACGCACGCACGCACGCACGCACGCACGCACGACGCCCGCCGGCCCGCTGCCGCCGCCCGCCGCCCGCCCGGCCCGGCCGCCGCCCC